ACACACACACACACACACACACACACACACACACACACACACACACAAATACTTACCATGTGTTGCTCTGAGAGGAGCGACAGTGTATTTAAAGATACGAAGGACAGAGCCTGTTCTCAAGGAATTCATAGGCTAGTTGCGTGATAAGGGGGATGCTAGGTCCTCAGCGTGTACACGCCTTGAGAGATACGGATGGAGAACCAGGTGCAGATGGAGAGGTCCTTATTGGGCTAAAACAAGAACATGAGAAGAATCTTTGAAGCAGAGGGGGATTGTGAAGTAGGTTTTAAAGGCTGCGTAGAATTCCAGGGATAGGAATTCTGAGATTCCTATGAGATAGGATGGGGGGTGGGGATACTGAGGGCCTGAGGGAATCATATAAACCAGGGCACGAAGGTGGGGAGATGGGGGGTTGTACGGGAAATGGAAAAGGGTCCAGTTTGACTGGATCGTAGACTTGATGAAGTGGAGTAAGAGATAAGACTGGAAAGGTAAACAGAGACAAGACTGCTATCCCAGCAGACATTTGTTGTGTGTCTGTAGAGATCTAGAAATGTACACGTACTTGAGGAAAGAGTGGGACATGAAGCCACAGAACAGGTAGGCAGTAATGAGCAAGGAAGTCCTGAGGAACCAGTAAGTTGGAAAAGCTGAGGATTCAGGAACCCAGATAAGCCTTGTGGGCAGAAGGTCTAAGACACACACAAAAGTGGGTCTTGATTTTAAGGTAACCTTCTGTCCCAGCCAGGAAGCCCCTTGTATTTTCCTCCGGGGACGGGAACCAGTCCCTGGGCATGACCAGCAAAGGCCTATGCTGGGGAGTTCAGTGTGTCCGTCAGACTGTAGAGGGAGAGAGGGCAAACATAAGGATGCGTCCTGGCAGGATATAGCTGGAGCCTAAAGCCTAGGGCTTGGATCCTAGATATTAGTATGGATTGTGTTAGGCCTGTCCTAGCTGTCCCCCTTAGAGCTGACTGAGTGGTTAGTACTTCGGTGATCTGGTTCAAATTCTGGGTCTTGGGACATTGGGTGGTTTGAATCACATGGGCCGTTGGATCACATGGGGGTGCTAAGCCTTTGGAGGGAATATCCAGGCTTCTCAGGTTTCGACTAATACTGCCTCGGGGGCAGCTGCTGCCTGGATCCGACTCTTCCTTCCCCCAGGGTCTTTCTGGCTCAGTGCTGGACGCAGAGGCAGGGTCTGCTCCGAGAGGAGCAGAGCTTTTCCTACTTTAGGAAGTGGAGAATTGAAGTCCAAGCTGAAAACACAGTCTGTGCATTCAGGGGATGGTGGCATGTGGTCCCTGTGATGATTGTCTGCTGTCCTTGCCTCCTCTCCCCACTGCAATGGGCATGCTTTTTACAGGAGAGTTCCGCTGGGGCCTGGAACTGGGTGTGCGGGGTAAACCGGGACTTTCAGGATTCTGAATCTCACCTCCGGTCTTGCCTAGTTTGGACCCAGTGTTTCAATTTTCTTTTCCTCTCGCTCTGCTAGTTCAAGTGGTACTGGTAGGAAGGAATACCCTTTGGAGGTGGAGATGTTTATATTTGCTGTGTACTTTTGCCGGTTTTCACTTATGAGGGTCTTACCTGACAAACAGAAAAAGCGATTGGCCCAACATTCCTTAGAGCATCAGTGGCAAAGACATTCGGGGAATCCGTTGTCAAGCATGGCAGACAGGTGGCATGTGTCAGCCTCCCCATTCCACACCCCATCCCCACCTCTGTCCCCAGGGCTGTCTTTGATACTTGATCAAGCCCCCTTTTCACCATTGCCCTCCAGGTGGGCACGGCCGATCAGTTAGAATCGGCATGACGAATGAACCTGATTTTCTGCACGAGGAGGAGATTGTGGCCGCCGAGTCCCACAGGTCTGGGGCCAGGTCCTGGCCACCTGTTCCCGGTCTTTAACTTTGAGGAAGTCACTTCCCTTAGCTTCAGTGTGTTGTCCTCAGTGTGGGGGTCAATGACATTGTGTACCTCACAGAGATGTGGGGAGGGTTCAGTGCCATAACGTGAGTGGAATACTTCAGTAAAAATCCTCTGCAGATCAGAGCCCTCCCCTCTCACTTGTCTGGCTCGCCAGTCTTTCCTCTTAGTGAAACTGGCCACGTCATGGGATACCGTGGATATGAAATCTCTTACGGGATTCCTATGGTTGGCGCAAAGCAAAGGCTGTTCTGTTAAGCAATAGCCCAGTGCTGGTTCCCAGCAACCTGGAGTCAGAGCATTCCTGAACAATGGGTTCAGGCATGCTACCAAACTCCAGAGAAACGCTCCTCAGATTTTTCCACTAAAGCACCCCAAAGGGCAGAGGAAACTCCAGGGCTCCTTCACTGCTGCTGCTCTCCTCAATCTGTTGATGCAGCCCCAAAGAACCCCCGCTCCTTTGAGGAGAGCCTTTTCAGGTCTCTTCTCTTCACGTGAAATTTTACTCTGTAAAATGCCTGTTTTTGTTTTAATATAAAAATAATGTTTGAACTTACTAATACCCGTTTTATGCCCCTCTTAAAAAACCCTCCCCCATTTGTTCCCTTCTTGTATTTCATGCCCTCCTATCAGCTAAGCTTTGGTGTCTAATATATAACATCTCAACCAGTTCATAAATTTCTGCTTTTAATATAGCCTGAGTTACCACTAGCGCAGGCCACGAGAAAATACCAGGCTGTCCCCTCTGCATTCAAGCTTTTTTGAAAGATTTACTGAGGAACAATTTATCATTTAGTTGCAATTTTTAAAATAATCTTAATTGGCCACATATGTTATCAAATAAGAGCGGGTCTTGGAGCCTCCGCCCCGCTCCGCGTCTCCCACCCCACCCCCGCGCGCGCATGCGCACTGCCTTCTGCCAGGATGTCAGAAAATGAATTCTACCACTCTGGGCAGATACCATCGCAGGAAAGCCTCCCCGTGATTTAAGATAAGATTACTGATATTGATGCTGTTATTTTGAGGAGGGGAAGACTACTGCTTTTAAACCTCTATCCCTCTTTCTCCTAGTTTTTCCTCTCTTAATTATGACTCCATGTTTTGGTAGCCATAAGTCATTAGTGGTTTTTAATTTCTCTGAAACTGAAATAAGGTCTGAAAGGCTGGATTTGTCCCTTTTTTCCTCCTTTTTTCCTTTTTTTTTTTTTTTTTTTCTGGCTAATCGGAGGAACGCAACCACATCTGAAGCCACTTGGCTCATTATGAATTTCATGGAAACTGATTCTCTGAAAGTGTTTCCATATGTGTGTTCCCAATATATCCCATCCTCTCTAAATGGGAGCACAGACGTGTGCATGGGCTGGAAATGGCTTCAGGATGTGACAGAGCAGTCATATGACCGCCACGGCACCGTGGGTGGCCCCTTCTGAAAGACACGGTGTCCTGGGTGCTGGCCTCCTTCCTGCAGAGGATCTGGTTTCAAAGACTACCCACCCTTCCTAGGCCTTTAAAAAGTTCTTAATCAGGGCCTAGCAAGAAGATCTCTCTCATTTTTCCTCCGTTTCTCTCCATCCCCCCCACCCCACCCCAACCCCCTGGTTCCTTCCTTCTCTCTTACCCTCCCTCTCTGTGTGCATACACTCCCACATCTCCTAATGCCTGCCTCCTTTGCCTTCAAAAAGAGGAAATATAGTATTCCAACAATATCCTCAAAATTTGGGTGGGTTTAAGGAATGGTTGAAGTTTCTGGAAACTGCCAGGTTGTTGTTGTTTTTTTTTTTTTTTCTTTTCCCCTCTCTCTTTTCTCCAGCATAGCTTACTTTCTTAGCCTTAGGATCAGCTGGTCTTTCAGAATTTGTGAGCATGCAGTGGAAAAGTACAATTCATTACAACACGGAAAATAAATATTTATCCTGGATAGTTGAGGCACTTTTCCTCTCTTTTGCAAAACTATGGAGTTTGCTAGTCTGACCTTCCATTATCTTAAAAAAATTGGTTTCACATTCTCATTTTGCTGGGTTCTTCTCCATCGGTGTGATCCATTACATTTCTCCTGTGTAGGGTATGTTTTTCCAATTATTATTTAATGTAATTACAAGTAAAGCTAATTTAATGATAGATTCTTGATCATTTTCAAGTGAGGGGGCAAATTCAGGGAAATTAAGAAAATTGATGTAAAAATCCTTTAAAACCTCAGTGTGGAAAATGCAAAGGACTACCCTGCATATAGTCCAAAATCGATTTTTGGATGATCTTTACACGGCGTTTCTGCTTCTGTCATGTTGCCTGTTAGTAATGCTAGTAACTCATCTGTGTAGCACATTTTTTGGAAGTACTGTCCTTTCTTAGCACTGCACTATGTCGTAGGTAGGATCTAAAAGGATACACGATTCTTATGCTTAATTTGCTTTCCCCTTGGTTGGAAAATGACAATATTTCTCTAAACACAATGATAATACTTTAAAATGTGTGGAGTAGACATTACATACGTAAATGTTCAGGATGTACATGAAAAAGCAAAGATGGTAAGAATTTGCATCCTGGGAAGCTGTTGTGTATTGGTGAGCTTTTTTTTTTTTTTAATTTTTTTTAATGTTTATTTATTTTTGAAAGACAGAGTGCTAGCGGAGGAGGGGCAGAGAGAGAGAGAGAGAGAGAGATGGAATCTGAAGCAGGCTCCAGACTCTGAGCTGTCAGCACGGAGCTCAGTGTGGAGGTTGAACTCCCGAACTGTGAGATCGTAACCTGAGCCGAAGTCGGACGCTTAACCGACTGAGCCACCCAGGTGCCCCTATTGGTGAGCTTTAAAGATAGTGCTTGCCCAGCCTTAGTCTGGCAGAGAGAAGAGAGCTGGTCCTGAGTCTGGGGAGAGCATGCGCAAAGCTCCAGTGAGGGTCCTGAGTGTATGTCCTGCCGTGAAGAAGAGGGTTCATACTGGGGAGCAGTGAGACGTGACATTGCAAAAGTAGGACAGAGAACTCCGAATATGCCAGTAGCCGCCTCCTCACTTTCCACCCTTCGTGGGGCAGGTGCCCGGTCATGTCTTGTGAAAGGCTGACCTGTGCCTGGGTGGGGGTGGCGCCCTCCGGTTTTACAGGAAGAAGAGCCTCGTTTTAATCTCCTGGTATCATTCACATCTACCTCGTCTCCAGACTTCCATTTCTTCATCCGTAAAGGTCGTCTTCGATTCTTGTTGACTCTGATGTACTTGCTGCCTGTACTAGTCCAGAAATTCAGACAGAGTGTGAGTTTTACCCTCTGGTACCTTTACTACCTATCCCAAATAAATAACCTGTGTGGGGGCGGTTGCCCCGGGATCACCTTCCCGCAGGCCATGTTTCTGTGGCCTGGCACTCCTGCTCCCTCCTCTGTTGTCTCCATGGCCCCCAGGATAGACATAAAATACAGATGCTGGGGCTAAGGATACCGGGAACAACACCAGTGGCAAAACAGAGGTAATCTGTTCACTAGTGGTGATTGATTGTCCGAAACATGAGGTCAGGTGATGTAATGATGCTTGGGAAGAGCTTTGAACACTCTTTAAAGAGAGTTTTATGAGGATTTATAGTCTGGAGTGGTATTAGAATGCATGTGAGGTTTGATGTCAGCATTGCTTTAATGCTTATTGTATCTGTTTTTAATGCGTCAAAAATGTACCAACCATTGTACAGAGTTCCTGATCCCTAGACTAACTTTCTTACCGATTCATTCATCTATCCATCCATATATGTACATTAAAAAGCAAACCCCAAAAAACTTAAGCTCCTACCGTGCAGAAGGGATATGAGAGGAAAATAAATCATGACCTTTACCATCCCAAGCTTACTTTATAATTGGAGAGAACCGGCTAAGAAACAGCTAATAGTTCAGTAAAGTAGTGACTCTTAAGGGGCCAAAAGAGAGACACAGAAAATAAATGCTATTGGAACAGGAGGGAAATAGGAAATTATATAATAGAGCAGTTGGGGGAGGGGCAGCTAGAAATGTTGTAGAAAAGGAAGAAGATTCTTAGAGGAAAGCAGCTCTGTGGCGATCCTGAGTGTTCTACGTTCTGAAGGAAAGAATGCCGTGAGGGGGTTAATAAAGTACGTTGGGCTTATTTGAGATTTGTCGAAGCAATAACTCCTACCATTTAAAAGGCCCCAATGAAGCTTTGAAGTTAACACCTCATTGTGGAGAAGGATGATGGCTTTTCATTCTGTACATTTATACCCTTACGTTCAAAAGTAGGACAGGGGACTCTGCCTGTGCCAACATAGTTCCACCTGGCTTCAAGGCCCCTCTTCCTTTCCTGCACCTGACCTGCCTCCTCAGGTGGGATGTGTAAATCCCACTGCTGAGAGGGGACAATGCACGGGTACAGGGTTTCCTAGCTGACAGCCCCAGATGGCAAGTACCCAGTCTGTTACTGTTTTCAGACTCCTGTTTCCATTCGTTCTAGGGATCTCCTTGCTTGTTCTCAGGCCGACCATGATTTACGGAGGGCCTACTAAGTGAGATGTATGCAAAAGCATTAGGTAAAGGCCTAGAAATGTCAAGTAATATTGTTATTAAGCACTGAGGGGGAGGCCAACAAGGATTAGACAAATCTCTGCCTTCAGCATCCCACTCGTGACCCAGGATAACTAGCGCTAGAAAGCAGTGTGTGGAAGATACCGGTGGGGGATTGCAGACCACAAGACCTGAAGATTGGGGGCTCTCTTTTATGCTCCCTTTTCTTTGGTTTCGCTTCTTGCCACCACACTTTTCACTTGCTCTGAAGACCCAAGAAACCCTATTGGGGAAAAAGAGACTTTCCTTTCTCCCCATAGACCTTGGCTGGCGGGATGGGGCGGGGGAGCGGGGGGAAGAGGCAAGCTTTTTAAAATTTCTTTTATTTTTATTTATTTTTTCATTATTTTTAATGTTTATTTATTTTTGAGAGAGACAGACAGAGCATGAGTAGGGGAGGGGCAGAGAGAGAGGGAGACCCAGAATCCTGAAGCAGGCTCCAGGCTCTGAGCTGTCAGCACAGAGCCTGACGTGGGGCTTGAACTCACAAACTAGTGAGATCATGACCTAAGCTGAAGTCAGATGCTTAACCAACTGAGCCACCCAGGTGCCCCAAGAGTTTTTTTACTTGTAATATTGGTTTTATTTTTATTGGAGCTTCATGGGCATTTTATTAACATACTCTTCCCATGCATATTAGACTCTGCTGGTGCTGTTTTAATGAGCAAGGTTCTTGCAGCTCTCTTTATGAGAGTTGCATTCCTTTACAAGCTATCTGACTGTGGCCAGAGGTACAGATAACAGTTCCGGAATGAAATGCGTCTGTAGGAACCCAGCAGGTCCTAAGGGAATCAAACCCTTGACCTAGGTCTCATTCACATCATGCTATGAGCAACTGAACTAACTGCCCACAATTTAGCAGATTAGATCCAACAAGATGTCCAAGAATTTGTCAGTATATCCCAAAGACAGTAACTCTCATTGGGGCAACATGTAGGCACCAGAAGAGCCTTCTTAAATGTTTTTTTAAAAAAGGCAAAGTTAGATTTCTAAGGCAAGATACATATGTACCTATGATGGTGTCAACCAGATTGCTTAAGGGTAACTAAGATCGCAAAGAGGCCAGAAGTCATGGCTCTGTATCTCTCAAGCAGCGTGATTTTGTCGTGTACGTGGCTCCCCTTCTCTGGATCTCAGCTTCCCTGCTTGTTAATGGGTAAGATTAGAATGGATTATCTTAGCAGTAAATGAGGGATTTGGGCCTTTCCATCAGAGTGCCCCAACCGGCAAAGGAGGGTAAATGGGTACTATAGAGAATCTGGAGCACACGACCTAAATCTTTGTTAAGTGCAAAATTTTGTTGAAGTCACTTTTTGTTTGTCTCCCTAGAAATTCACCCAAGTGTTGTATTCTACCCCATATCTTTTGTTAAGTTTGTAGTTGTAATGTGGCTAGTTACACAGGTATGTGTAGTTTAGTACACAATGTCAAGAAGCCTGTCTAAAAGAATACCCAAGTTCATGTGCAAAACAGAGATTAAAAACAGATACTACCCTGTTCAGTGAAAGAAAGTTTAATTATATCGTTTACTTCTGCACCAATTATTATAAACTGAAGATTAGGGAGGGCTTTATTTTATTTGTTTCCTTTTAAGTTTAGAATTTTTTCCTTCTCCTCACCATAGATTATTATATAAGGGATCTCATGTGAGACTGTATGGAGTTGTTAATATTCCTTCATACAGAACACATTGCAGGGTGTTTCAGAAACATTTCTTGGTAGCACGAACTGAGTAAGGCAATTCCAGAAAATTCTACGTTTTGTAAGTTGTAAAAATGACTGTATAATCCCTTTAAAGTCCACATTAGCTCTCTTTGCCCAGAAGGAGTTAATCTTCAAGACATTACAGTCTCAAATGACTAGAAGTGATTGGTCAAAATTCTGTAAACCTAGCAGAAATTTGTGGCATTGTTTTCTATAAACCACAGCCAGAGCTCAATAATTGAAAAATGAATGTCAATTTCCATTAGCTGGCATCTATAAACCAAAAAGGTACAGTGATCCTGGCATATGACGGGTAATAAAAACATCAGCAGAATGCATCAGGTAAAACAGAGAAGGTGAGGGGGTGGAGGAATAAATTCAAAACCATATTGGAGTTTACTGGCAAGGCCCCACATCGGGGGTTTTAATGAGGCTTCTGCATCAAAATAAGGGAAACCGCATGGAATTTTAATTATGACTACAGCATATTTTAAGTACAAATACCCACGAGAAGCATTTTTTTTTTTTTTTTTTTAACACCGACAAGCCTATTCTGGGGAGCCTCGGTCTTGGGGGGGGGGGGGGGCAGGCGTTGATGTTTTAAGTGGGGCTTCTTTCTGTTTGAAATTGTTCACGTTATTCTGGTTTCTCTCACATGATCGGAGCATTGAATGTAATCTGTACAGAAGTGGCCTGCCTATTACTGTTAGCTCTGCCAGCCCCAGCTCACCAGATGCTGTGCAGTGAAAAGGCTGGCCAAGGAACCTCTGTGGCCTCCATGTAGCGCCTGTGTCTCCCAAGGCAGACTGCATAAGCACGGAGCAGGGGTGGGGGGGGGACCTTAAATCTCATCTGCTCCCTTTTGAGCCTCTGTCATAATCACTACTTCCACGTTTTAACATTTGAGCCGGCGAGGATTTTGTATTTGGGAGGGTTAGGCAGGGGCCTGTCGAAGATGGAAGAATTTATGAAAAGCAGAGAGCAGCTGCCCAGACTGCGTTAGTTTTGGTTCGTCATCTTGAAAGTGTTCGCTTCTGGTATTAGACGCCGCTCACTAGCTTCTTACCCTCTGCTTATGGGCCTGGGGAATCCGGGAAAGCACTGAAGAGGGGTGGGAACTTCTCTGCCTCCCTCCCCCCTTCCCCCTCGGCTTTGCTTCTCCTGCTGTCTTGGAGTTCAAGGTGCTAGAACCGTTAGAGCTGGAAGGGAACTTAGAGCTCATCCCCCTCATTTTACAGATGATGACACTGCCACTTCTGACTTCTGCCTCTGGCCTTCCACTCTCAGTAAGAAGAGCCAGGCAGGTGAGACTTTTAACAATTGCGGGGGCTGGGCTGGGCGGGGCTGTCTGCTTGGTACTGTCCAATGTTCGAGAAAAACTTTTGTTAACTCTATATTGCTTTTAAATAGTCACTTTGGATTACAAACGCACACCATGGCACTTAGGGAGATCACAGGCGGTGTGCATTTTGACAAAAATCAAAACTCTCAATCGGCACCTTTAAAGAAAAGTATCAGGATTATGCCTTGAATAAATACTGGAGTATCCAAGAACAAGGGCTAAATAGAAATGGGGCTGAAGAAGTAGCTCCTGACTAAGGCCTTGAAGAAGGTCCTAAGTGCTTTCCCTTATGGGTCAAAACTATAGAAAAGCAAACACGTGAGATGCAGAGAATTGGAAGATTTTAGATGCGACACAGTCTTGAGAACACCAGTATTATAGAAGGTCTTGTCATAATTCTGTCAGTTTTAGAAAATTGTAACCCAGTCGCTGGAGATCACAACTAAATTTTTAGGCATTTCAGAAAACTGATTTCTACATGAAGTGGTTTATGGCTATGGTTTTATGAGTTTAAGCACCAGAAATACCTATTAAGGAGGCACACTGTTAGCTTTAGAAGTTAAAGGACTTTTCCATTTCAGGGCAAAGCCAGCTTTGCCTCCAGGTACCACTTGGAATTAGCCTGAAGCTGATTCCTTAGGATGTGGCACAGGGCTCTGGTGAATGGGTGTTGAGGCGCCCTCTTACCCCTCTCCCCTGGGCGCAGAGCGTCTCATGAAAGCTACGGTTGGCCGCTGGCCTAAATGAGGTCCTGGGTCTCCCATTGAGACATGAAATGCATTGATTCCTAGGTACTATAAGCCTTCCCCCCACCCTCACTTTTAAAGCCCACTTATTTAGTGTATGACCCTAGGGCTAATTTCTAAGGGCTAGACTCTCCTCATGTGCCCCCAGAAAAGTAAGATAGTTCCAGAACACGTTGAAATCTGGCTTGATTTCAGTCCGGTTTGATTTTTTTTTTTTTTTTTTTTTTGAAATCTGTTACTAAGATGAAGAATAAGACAAGATTATAGATTATTTTAAAAATGGAAAAGAAGTAATAGGAACATGTTAGGGTATCTTTTTGAAGTTCCTTCATTGATGAAGGGGCCTTGCCAAGAGTACCAGTAACAAAACTGATCACTTTGGGGTTTCTTTATATTGGGTTGAGAAAATAAAATTAGGTTGAGTGACTTAGTAAAAATGTCACTTTTAAATATCTGAGGTGCAATGAGAAACGAAAAGAGAAAAAAAAAAACCAATGAGGATTCAGTCTTAAAGTCTGAGGAGTGAATCTATAATGAGCGGTGTTGGGTTGGTTTACACATAAGACCTAGCACACATTTGGGCTTTTTTTCAAGGGGGTGAAGAACTTAAGGATACGTGCCGCTAAGACGGTAAAGTGGAAAAAAAAAAAAAAAAAAAAGATTGTCTAGTGACCGGTGCATTTGAAGGTCTGTTTGTGGCTTTGCTGTTCCTTTTTGGGAGGCTAAAGTTTCTTGTTTTTTTTTTTTTTTTTTTTTTTTTTTTTTTCTTGTAACAATTCTCTCTTTATTTTAATTGATATTTACAGACTTTTTTCCCCCCCCATCTTCTGTTATAATTTTTAGGTGCTTCAGAACTGGGCCCTTTTTCAGACCCCAGGCAGTTCCCAAGCATTTCATCCCTCACTGAGAGCCGGTTCTCCAACCCACGAATGCACTATCCAGCCACCTTTACTTACACCCCGCCAGTCACCTCAGGCATGTCCCTCGGTATGTCCGCCACCACCCACTACCACACCTACCTGCCACCACCCTACCCCGGCTCTTCCCAAAGCCAGAGTGGACCCTTCCAGACCAGCAGCACTCCATATCTCTACTATGGCACTTCGTCAGGATCCTATCAGTTCCCCATGGTGCCGGGGGGAGATCGGTCTCCTTCCAGAATGCTTCCGCCATGCACCACCACCTCGAATGGCAGCACGCTATTAAACCCAAATTTGCCCACCCAGAATGATGGTGTTGACGCTGATGGAAGCCACAGCAGTTCCCCAACTGTTTTGAATTCTAGTGGCAGAATGGATGAATCTGTTTGGCGACCATATTGAAATTCCTCAGCAGTGGCCCAGCGGTGTCTGGGAGCCGCATCCCAAATGTATCGATATATACATATATAGAGAGAGCGCATATATATGTATATCAATTAGCTATCTACAAAGTGCCTATTTTTTAGAAGATTTTTCATTCACCCACTCAGTCATGATCTTGCAACCATAAGAGGGTAGACACTGAGAAGCAGAAGGCCCAAGAGAGACAATCGTATTCAGGTTTCAGATGGTTTTCTATGTAAGACGTACTTTCACAAAGGAAAAAGGTATTTTTGTTGTGTTGTCGTTTGGCCTGTTATCATAAATAACCCGTTCCTATGCCAATTCAGAGAGGTGGACTCCAGGTTCAGGAGGAAGAAGAGCAAAGCCGCTTCCTCTCTGTGCTTTGAAACCGCACACCCTCACGGTTGCAGCTGTGTATGGACCAGTGCCCTCTGCAGACCAGCTTACAAAGCCAGTCGAGGTGCACGCGGAGGGCAAAGAGGTAGAATGGATGCCTCCCGCATAGTGCGATCCATTCAGAGTAACTGTTCCAAACTGCTCTCAGACTTGCCGCAAGTTCTCGTACGATCTGTTTGGTTCAGTTTTGTTGTTGTTGTTGTTGTTGTTGTTGTTGTTGTTGTTGTGTTCCTACTTTTAAGAAAGCGACTCCAAAAATACTGATCAGGATAGATGATTTTATTTTACTTTTTTGTACTTTTTTTGTTTCCTTTTCCCATTTAACCAAAAAGAAATCCCATCCTTCGATCCTTACCCCCCTTCTCCTTTCTCCTTTTATGCAAAACTGAAAATGGCAATACCTTATTATAGCCATAATGGTATAGATAGTGTTTGTGTTTGGCTGTGTGTTGTTTTCTTTTTTTTTTTTTTTAAATTATGAATATGTGTAAAATCTGAGGTAACTTGCTAACGTGAATGGTCATATAACTTTAAAGATATATTTATAATTATTTAATGACATTTGGACCCTTGAAACATTTCTTAGTGTACTGATGTGTTGACTTCGGTCTCTAAAAGTGCTCTTTATTAAATAACAAATTTCTTCAGTGGGCTAGAGCCATATCTGAAATATTGCTAAGCAGTTTCAGTTCAGGCACAATGTGATTTTCAAAAATACGTCCATCTCCAAATATTTTAGATGTAGCTTGTTTTTGTGACGTATGAAGGAAATGTTATGTCTCGTTCTTTCAGATCTTTGATCGCCTCTAACACAGCTTTGCCTTTTAAAGCAATAATTGGGGATTTAAAAACCAACGCTTAGCCCTTTATCTCTTATTGTTGCCCTTTGTTAGCATGAAATGCTGGAGTGATGTGGTTTCCTAATTTCTTTCAAATAACAATGACTCTTGTCATACTAAAAAGACAGGCACAAGTGAATCATGGAACTGCAGAAAAACTTTCTGCGGTTTCATAGTTAAAGCAAAACTCTAAATCGCCAGGCTTCACAGGGAAGACGTAGCAGGCGGCCGCACTTGTGGCTGAAGGGTCCATCAGGATGCACTTAGTACAGGAAAAGCCAAATTGTCCCGGGGATTCTTAACCCACCGGCCTTGCCAAACAGAAAGTCAGGAGAACCCAGGCCTGCCCTCCCCGAGGCCCCGCCGGCAGCTCTCCACGGACTCTGCCCTTAAAGGAGCAGATTCAGTCATTGTCTTATGGGGGAGCGGGTCATCTGAAGTAGCAGGCAAGTTCCAGCAGGTAGCTGACCTGAGAGAACACCTGGCCTGTGGGGAGCCATAGCCAACCCTTTTGCGTCAAGGGAAGGCAAGGTCATGTGGAGTTTGGGATCTTACGACTGTGTATGAATCTGAGCGGAAGCCCTCCTGTAAGATGCACTTTGACCGCTCCTGGCGACCACATGGCAGATTCTCAAGCGGGAATCCTTAATCCAAGCCAGGATCATTCGATGACACCACCGGGCAAATCCCTGCCTGGGCTCCCACAGGTCCGGGCCCCTTCCTTTCAATTCGGTGCCCCTCTGAACAGAACTTTGTAGAGATTTGCCTCCAGCGCCTAGAGACCCCCTGCTCTGTCGTCCTGCCGCAAGCCCGCTTCACTGGCCACCAGGCCTCGCAGGGCAGCGTGGAGGGCCCCGTGCTTCTCGCTGGGCGCCTCCCTTGCAATCGCCCCGACTCCTCCCAACAAAAACCGAGGGCAAAACAAAACAAAGCAAAACGAAACTCTTTGCCTTCTAAAGGTTGTATACCAAGTATGCTTAGATAAATAAGCCACTTTTCTCTTACTTAACTAAGATGGCAGTAGTCGCTGATACTATTTATTGTTTGTGTGTGGTAGCTTGAAGCACGACACTGTCCATTTATTTGTAAGTGTAAAATATGTGTGTGTGTTTCAGCAGCACTTAAAAAAGCCAGTGTCTGGTTACACATTTCAATTTTAATTAATTGACCTAAAAATGTTACCGCCGGTGCCAGCTGTACCCTATTTAATAAAAAAAAAAAAGGTACTATATTTGTACATTATTTTTTAATGTTAAAAGGGCTTTTTTAAGTTTACAGTACACATACTAAGTGACTTTAGGGATGCTTTTGTGTTGAAATGTTATTAGAGTGGCTGCAGGCAGCAACCCAGAAACACTTTAAAAGTTTTTTTTTTTTTTTTTTTTTTCCCCCTTGGGAAAAATTCAAGCACTTGTCCCCTCCCTCCAACCACTCCAAAGGGGTAAGTCACATTTCTTAGATCAAATTCTGCCCTTTGTCAAAGCCTGGGGGTTAAAGTTTTCTTTTTCGTTTCCTTTTTTTTTTTTTTTTTAACTGAACCCTTAATTTGCACTGGGTCATGTGTATGATCTGTGATTCGAAGACCAAAGCAAAGCCTTACTACTGCTCCTACCGTGAAGCCATGTAGTAGCCAACGCTCTGTATTTCCTTCAGGTTAAAGGAGCATGGTTCTTGGTAGCGCCAACGTTGCTGGAGTTCACAGCGTGGCCCGCACAGACACGCTGATCTGTTTGAGTTGTCTCACAGATTGTAACCTCTGCCAGGGCCCCCGAACAAGTACCACAGCGTTGGTTTTGGATGAGGGAAGTGACCTCCAGCCTGGAACCGAGAGAGACGCAACAGATGAGCTATGGGTTACTCTGTAGACAGTCTCGCCCCACCGGGGCCTTTTCAAAGGAAGCTGAGAAATCCACACCGTCAGGGACCATCCGTTGCAAACTCAGAGGGGACGAGTTGTGTGTGCTGGCTTAGAGTTCCCTCCATTCCCAGGAAAGGAACGGACTCAGAGTCTAGGTTAATGCATGGAAACACAGAGCATGAGCAAGAACAGGAGTTATTTCTAGGATATTCAAAAGAACAATAACCAATAAAATAAAAGCGACTCTTCCAAACCTTGAATTTGTTGTTCTTAAAAAAGGAATGCATTTAAAAAATATTTTCTGTGTGAGAATTTTTTAGATGTTTGTTTACTTCATGTTTACAAATAACTGTTTGCTTTTTATGCAGTACTTTGAAATATATCAGCCAAAACCATAAGTTACAGTAATTTCTTAGGTATTCTGAATAAAATTCCATTTTTTTCTTTTTGGATATGCTTTACCATTCTTAGATTTCTGTGGAACAAAAATGTTTGTAGCATTTTGTGTAAATACAAGCTTCTCATTTTTATTTTTTTCCAATTGCTGTTGCCCAAGATCTGCTTTCCCTGCACATATTGTACAAATTCTGGTTTGTCCCACAGGCCATGATTGTGGATGAGTTTACTTTCAACTTCAAAGGGACTATTTGTATTGTATGTTGCAACTGTAAATGGAATTATTTGGCATTTTTGTTTCTCATGATTGTAATATTAATTTGAAGTTTGAATTTAATTTTCAATAAAATGGCTTTTTTGGTTTTGTTATGTGTGTACATTGGGTCTTTTCTCAGCCGCGGCTCCATTCTCTAGTCTAACGCCTACTCCTGCCTACACCTGGGCACTTTTTGGCCGTGGGACTTGCCAGGGCCGGATGAGAACCGAGGTCTATGTTACTGGTGAGAGGTTGAAAAATATCCGTGAGCGCTACCTTCTTTTGTCCTACTCCTACAGGGGCGTGGGTGAAGGATCTAGCAGTGAACTAACTCACTTCCCTATCAGCCTGTGTCTGAAGGAAGGAGCGCTCACCCCATCCTTCGGTAAAGCCCCTTCTTCTATCTACGGGGCCAGTCCAGATACAAAGACCGCTGTCTCGATGGTCCTGTGGGTCTAATCTCTGGGCACATGAACAAGGGCCCACAAGTGAACCCTTGGCTGTGGTCAGATCTCCGGCAGCCTGGCCATAGCCGGTAGTCTGTTTTGCTTCCCACGTCTCTCTTGGGTTCTTAAAACAGAAAGTCAATCAAACCTCAAGGGTAAGTAAAAATGGACCTTGGCCTAGAGAGCTCTAGCCTCAGAAAAATTCTACTAGCGAGCATAACTATAGTTTGGAGTGTTTTTGTTTTTTTTTTAATGGGCCATAGTCTATTTTTGGTAAGTCCCTCCCCTTCGATAAGGTTGAGGGCCTGGGGTAGAGTGGTGGCTTTCTTTATGTCCTGTGCTGTCTGTCCGCCTTAGCTTACCACAGTTCTAAA